ACTGGGTCACGGAGATAATATTCGATGGGGTGGACCGCATCTCCGATGGTGCAGTTTTATTATATTATATATCAGCGAGAAAAGGAACGACACATCTTCGGTATTTTCATTTTGCTCGACTGTAAAATCGATAGAACGGTTGAGTCGGACGGATATCATTGATAGGGGAAATCGTTTGAATATTATTTCTCAAGTTGCAAAGATTAGTTACGATTTGTAAATTAAATTTTATAAATCAATTACTTTTTATTACTTCCTATATGTATTCTTTTTTATTGTTTATATCGTAGAGAAAATCAATTTCAAAAAAAAAGGAGAACAGATTAGTAAAAGTAAATATATTGAAGAACATTCAATATAAGATTGCATCAAGTTTAATTCGAGATATTAAGCCTGTTATTTCACTATGCAACTTTGAGATGAACGTTTCTGATTATGAAAAAAAAAAGTCAAAAGAATAAAAGATCAACGATTAACGATAATTAATCGGAATATATAATATAAAATTATGGTAAATATAATCTAAATTTTAATTAATCAATTATTTATTTTTCACTACGTAATTTATAAGCAAATAGGTCCAATCATTTGAATTACGTAAAGAGATAATTTATATGTTTAAATAATCAAATTAGTGAAAATTAATTTAAAAATTCGATGTAAAATTATAAAAAATATTCTTTGAATTGCCCAAAGAAAAAGATTAATTTATCTTTCGATGAGATAGTAGTAAACGTCGTATACGTTAATTGATGGAACGCGAGCTAATAATTGCAATTATCTTAGCTCTGAGAAGGCTTAAATGAAATGGAATCTCTGGTATCACTCTGAACAAGTCACAATACTTGGTACAATCTCTTCGAGTCATTGAAATAATTTCGTACAACAGAATGAAAGAGAAGCGAGAGCTCCAATCGCATTTTTTCTATTTTTCTTACTTCTTCTTTCTTTCTTTGCTTTCATCATCATTCATTATACTTCAACTGCAAATATTTATACAGCTACGCAGCTTTAGAGAATTTCTTTAGATTTGAATGATTTTTCTTTTAAGTATGAAAAGTATGAAGCAATTAGAAACTATGATTGCAATAAATTACAATCGAATTCGCTTTGAAACGAATTTTATTCGCTTTTCAATCTATGAAATACGATAATTAATATTATCCACATATCTATGGACCTAAATAATAGTTTCTTCAACATTGGCAACCTTTTTAATTAACAATAATAATATAATTACAATACACATTAATTTACATATAGATTAAAATTATCTTTAGAATTGTTGAAATTGTCAATAATTTTAATAAATTTTCTAAAGAAATATTTGTTAAATGTGAAACACGTATTTAGTATTAATACAAAAAAAAAATTATTATATTTAATAAATGGCATTTTATTATGACGAGATGTTTGAGGAAAATTGGATCATTACAATGTTGGTATAATTTAACTATATAACGCGTAATATTCTACTTAATGGCAATCTCGAACCTTTCCTTTTCAAGATGGTGAGAGTTCATGACGAGCACAAAAACGTGCGAAAAAGGACGAATCCGGTGGACGCGTTTTTCGACTTTGCCTGAGCAATTCGATTAAAAGGCTAATTACGAACCGCCGGTGGTCGTGGTTTTTTGATCTTCTTATCCATAAGTGGAAGTCGCTATCACGAAATTGAGTCAGTCGCGTAACACACTTGCATAATGTGAATTATATCAATGTGATTATCTGGAAGAACCACAGGAAAAGGATTGATAAGAATTCTAAGTAAGAAAAACCAAAATTTATCATTTTGTCTACTTTGAATTCTAATTTTATCCTTTAAATCAAGGACAAACTTGTCGAATGTTTTCTACTTGAGATAGCTTTATAACACGCGTGAAAAATTCTCAAAAGGGGAAAGCAAAGTGAACAGATTAATCCCCCATTTTTCAATACATATGAAAGAAAGAGAGAGAGAGAGAGAGAGTGAGGGAGAGAATGAGTTTTCCCTTTTCTGCAAAGAACTGATACGAAAATTTATTGTTTGTAAGTCTATCAACAAATATACACTCTTATTTTAATTTTAAAGAAAAATATTAGGTATTCAATTTTTATTCAACATTTTATAAGATTTGTATTTTTGTATTACTTTTTCGAAAAATTAAAACCAAAGTAATTAAATATATAATATATAATATATATTTTTTTCATATTTTATATAGATTTATTTAAATTATTCAAATATTCTGTAGACGTGTAAGACATTCAGTTTTTAAGTCATTTGTATAGTAAAATGTAATTAGTTTCTAGTAAAATAAGATCACGTAATCTTTCGTTTTATTTGTAGAAAATATATTTAATAGTGATCCATGCAAGAGAATATGCTGGTTAGTATGAACATTTTGGTACTCACACATAAATGTTTACCCATACAAGAGGATGCTGGACATTGGTGAAATGAAAGACTCGAGTCACGTAATTCCAGATAATTTTTTGCTTTTCTCGACGTTCGCATTTCATTGAATAAAAAGATAGGAGAGAATTCGGAGTATACTCTTGCACGTATTTTGAAAGCTCTTTGAAGAGACTGCTTCTCGAATATACGTGAAGCAGTTTAAGTAGGATTGTATGCTTTCAGAGGTCATATCGTGTGTTGGTCCTCGACCGATGCCTTCATTCTCCTCTCTCAACTTGTATAAATGGAAGCAGTTTTCTTCTTGCAATATTGCATTCGTTCCAAAGTACTTTTATTTAATAAAAGATAAGAGCTAAATAAAGAAAGAAGAAGGGAAAGATATTTTTACTTTTCTTCGTTGCATTCATAAAACAAATGATCATGTTTGTATTAGTTTCCAATAATTACGAATTTTCATAAGTCTTTTTTATTTTTAAGATAAATGAAAGATAACAAAAATTATAATAGTTATTTATTATTTTTATTATATGATGTCTTCTTTTACTTATTACTTATTATTATTATTATTATTATTGTTTTATTCAAAAAAAAAATTGGTAAAAAGGTAAGATAACAAGAAAAATAATGAGTAATTTGTTCAATTCATATAAAATACGTAATTAGTTTATTCAAACATCGAAGTAAAAGTTTAAAGGAATATCGTTAAACACAGAAGTGCACGTAAAAAAGAAATTGGAAAAAAGAATGGATAAAAGAACGAAAAAAAAAGAAAACTTTTGCAAGAAAAACCAAGTTTGTTATGAAGAAAGGAAAAAGCCCTTTTCTTTAGTAGAAATGACTTTGTAAAATCGTGGAAAAAAACTTTTCTTTCAACGATGTACCTAACAAGTTGTAGTGAGTGGAAATCCGAAACTGTGGAAAATTGCATGAAACGAGTAGGTAGATGAACGTAAAAAATGTTTATGTAATATATATAAGATTGTAGATATTGCTGATAAATAAAAAATTCATACAATTTAATTTATAATATATAAATTTTAGAAATATTTTATATTACGTTTATATTATTCCAGTAGAATTAAATATAATTAAATTTTATATTACATTAATTTATAACAAATTTTTCTATTCTTATATTACATAATTCAATAGTTTTATATTTGCGATAAGAAAATCTTATACATAGCTAAAAAATGTCACTTATTCTTCCTCTACGTTTTTCAATTAGTATTGGAAAACATTTAGAGAAATATTTATCAAAGGTTGTCGTCTAGCTGAGGGATTTCTGATTTTTTTTTTTATATTTATTTTTTGTACTTTCATCATTTTATTTTGTTACGTTACTAATGTTAGTCGCAGTCAAGTCAAGGCAGGGTGAACATCGAGTAAAACTTGAGCTTGACAATAAGCTTCTCCATGGTAATTGATTTTTGATTAAACCTATTTATACAAAATAATACATACTTATATTTAATTTATTTCAATCAAAATCAGGTTTAGCTATAATTAATGTTAATTGATTCAAAATTATATAATTTAAAATATACTTTTAATCCAAATAATCATAAAGTATTGCTACGATCAATTAAATAAATAAAAAATAATTAACGAGTTGATTGATAAGCGTATATTAATTTAAAATCGTGATAACGGAATCATGATGAGAAAATATTACCTTCTCTCGTTTATTTACCTCTCTAAATTAAAAAGTTCAATTTAACTAAAATATACCAAAATAATTTATACAAAAAATGAGGAAAACAAGTTTTATAGTTTAAAATGTTTAAAAATCATAAGCACACAAAATCAATAATCTCAATTTTATTTTATTTTTCTCTCAATCTCCCTGCCTTCGTATAAATCAATCGATTCCAAATATCAATTTAATCGCAAACCAAACTACGATAAAATATTTTTGCAATTAGATGAAGTCTATTTAATTAAAAAAAAAACAAATAAAATAAAATAAAAAAAGGAGTTTCCAAACATTGAAAACGTTTAAAAATCGTACTAACGATACTTTGTAAAAAAAGAAGTAGAAGAAGATCAACATTTTTCGTTATTTATCATTTAAATAAAAATCACGATTTAAATTAAATTACTAATTATAAAATACGTTCAACGAACGTACACGAATAAACGTTCTAATAACTAAATAAATAAAAACTTAAATGAAATGAAAACATCAATAGAAAAATCGTAATGAAAAAATCATGAAACACTTGTATATTTTCTTATCCTTTTCTTTTTTCTTTCTACCACACTTTCTCCCTTCCTCCAAGTTTCTTAAAGGTGCTCATGCGCCTCGAGGTTAGTCCTATGAAAGGAAAGGGAACGAATTTTCTTCTGTGAATGGAACGCAACGAGGAAGACGACGACGACGACAACGCGACGTAGACAACGATAACAAATATTGTGGACGACGAGGAAAGTAGAGAAGAACGAGTGAAAAAAAAAAGGAAAGAAATACTACGGTTGAGTGCGAGAGAGAAAGAAAAAGAAAGAGAGAGAGAGAGAGAGTGAGAGCGAGGATGATAGAGAGTAGAGGAGAACCAACGAAGTATAGAAGTCAGTCAGTCAGTCAGTCAGTCAGTCAGTCTGGTCGCGCACGCTTCTGATTCACTACTCTCGAGTGCTCTCGAGAGTGCTTTGGTCATCAGAGTTCTATAAACTTCGTGCGTGCTATTAATTACGTTTCATTTTATTTTTCTTCGAGCAAGTAAGAAAAAAGAGAAAGAAAAAAAAGGAATAACGGAAAATAAATAAATCAACAAACGGTTTGGTCGTAGGATATTACATAGTGAAAACGAGAAGATTTATTTTGGTTATTTATACAAAGGAGTTTTTAAGATTCCCGCGCGTTTTTTTTTTCGTCCACACGCCAACGACTTTTTCTACACGTTCTTTCAATTTGTATTTAAAAAAGAAGCGGAAATAAGCGAGGTGAGTCTATGATTATTTTTTTTTCTTCTTTATTCTGTTCTTTTTTTTTTTTTTTTTTCAATAGATTTCTTTATTAAATAAGAATATTTTGTATATCGTTATTTGATTTTATTTTATTATTATAATAAAAGGAACACTTATTTATGATAATTGATAATTAATATAATATTATATAATAAATATTCTTATATACTTTCATCATTCGTTGCACATAGCTATCGGATTAATTATTAAGTAAGTGCCATTTTATTGTGATTTTGTGAAATTAACGTTAAATCCACAACTATTTATGAATCAATTGAATAATTATACACTTCATACTACATTTTATAGTCAGAACTTATACTAGCGCTTGCATAAATATTGGGTCAATAGATACATATATAAGTGTTATTAAAGATACATTGATTACAGTCAAACGATACTTATTTATGAATCAGTCCGATAAATGCTATATTTTATAATTAAAATTCTTACTAGTTCTCATAAATAATAAAGTTCATATATACACGAGTATAATTATAGGTAAGTTTATTATAGTAAAACAATACTTATTTATAAACCATTCCGACAAGTATGTACCAATATCATAAGCAATTTTTTTTCTTTAGAGTAAATTACATTTTTTATAAAAGTAACATCGACAAGGTTTGGTATCATATGTTAATGTAAATGAGTGAAATTTTTCTGTATAAATTTCCTGTGTTCGCTTTTTTTTTGTCAACTTTTTCGCAACAATTATCGTTCGGTGTTTGCCGTAATTGTTTGCGCTCGAGTATCGTAGGTAGAAATCTGTGGGGGGTTCTTACTCTCATCAGGTACGTTATCGTTTGACCTGGTTTAACTAATCATTCGGAAATGTATATTTAAATAAATTGATATCGTGCAATTTTCTAATCTCATACTTCTTATCGTTATCGAGGAATTAGTCGTTTAGTTTCGTTTTAATAATAATTAGGATTTAACCAACTGATTCTAACTATTTTTATCTTCCTAATTAATTAATTAGATTATCTGTTAGATAATCTAATAAAACATTTTATCTAATGTTTAATAGAAAATGAAGAAGAAAAAGCTTGTGTCTATCACTTAAAAAATTATTCTATAACAAATTGATAATTATAATAGAAAAAAATCAAACAGAGTGATTTAATTTCAATGAATTTAACGAAATTGCATTTGCATAAAACGATTTGTTAAAAGCAAGTTCAATATACGTTATAAATTTATAGAATAATAGAAATTTAGTAACATGGAGAAGAATATTTGTTCACTTGGAAATGATCAAATAGACATAGAAAGCGAGAAAGAAATGAAAGAAAAAAAAGAATAAGGAATCTCGAGTGAAAATGATTAAATTCATCGATTATGCAATCATATAATAGAAGTTGGAATCCTTTGAGTGAAAAAAGAGAAAAATTAAAGGTTTCCTCTCAACGGTAGTTGAGATGAGTATCCTTGTCACGTGCTAAAGAATCACTCGAGCTAATAAATCATAGTAACACGTCTCATTTACCTTTTATATGAAAGCTTACTAATATAACAAAATAAAAAAATAAATATGCGCGTCGCATGCATAACAATTTTGTAATACTCATAAATTAAGCAAATTATATTTTCTTAAAAAAAAAAAAAAAATAATGAATCTTATTAATAATTTATAATGTAACAGATACTTATAATTGAATAAAAATTGATTTACGATTTTAGATACAAATAACGTATAAATTTAAAATAAAATAATATTAACGTCTTCTTTGGATTAGAAATATTTATTAAAAATACTTTGATACTTATATATAAATTATATATAAAATAAAAATGTATGTAAATAATATATCTATTTCATATCGTTTATGATCAATGATACTTAAGTGAGCCTCGTTTTCCTTCGCAAGTTATTTTTCCCATCAAAAGCACGATCGCGTTTATGACAAAAAGAATGATATCAATGATACGAGCTCGTTCTTGTTTTACTGGGGATGATGTTGGCATACGAAAGGCCTTTTCAAATCGATTGGTAACACGAATCGAGAATGGAACGAGGCGTGACGCGGATATGACGCCTGGAATTACCTTTGCAATTTTTCGTACTCATTTCGACACTCCTCTCGTGTTTGCTCGCCTTCTTTTATGTATAATTAAGGATATCTTATAGGTAGTTAGCCCTCATCGATTAAGATTTCTCTCTCTTTCCTCCTCTACCCCTCCTTTCTCTTTCTTTATTTCGTATTTCAAGAACGAAATTATAAATTGTTTTTTTGATCGCGATTGCTACACGGATTTTCAACGATTCAAATAATAATGATAATTATTAATCTTTTAACCAAGGTTAATGCGTTAACTCATCATGGTACTTCGAAAATAACGCAAGTAAATTTAGATTTGATAATTGTGTGCTTATATAAATATATAATAAACGTATCTATAAAGAATATATGAAAACAATACATCTATTTCATATCAATAATTAATCACTTTAAAATTTCCGCTTTGGATACCGCTTTTTTACGCAAAATTTAATAATTTATCGGAATTAGAAACAAAATATTGAACATTCCATTTTAAAGGTAACCTTAATATCTCAATAAAAAAGGAAGATCATAAAAAATGGATTAGAGCACTATATGTTACTTTAAATACCATACAACTTTGGTTTGAAACATTTTTTTGTATAACGAAAAACTTACGAGTTATTTGAAGTTGTTATAATAGGAGATAACCAGTATATTTAGGATTTCTAATCATTAAAAATAACGTAAAGTGTAAATTGTTATAGTACGTATATTAAGTGATTATTTATTATTCTTATAAAGAATTTAATTATTATATTTAAAGAAGATAATGATTAAAAAATTTAATATATTTTATGTTTTTTTTTATAAAATAATAAAACAGACACAGAAAACGTAAATACATTATTTATATTTATATAAATCTTTGCAAGGAGAAGATTTAGTTGGAACAATAATGTTCTAACATTATCTCTATATCCCTTAGACATTTTAATCTAGAGTGCCATTAACCGTGGTCCGTGTTCGGAATTACCAGGTTTCCTGTGAATTCTCATAAGATTCTCGTGTTACGTAGATAATGGTGTTGGTGGTCGGTGCATCTTGATCGAATGAAAAGCAGACCTACGTGTTTTAGTGTCCTTTAAATTGCATGGACACGTAATAATGTTCTGCTTTGTAAAATATAGGATATTATCGTTTAATCCACTGTAATATGATTTCTATTTCATAGATTTTGAATTATATAAGTAATAATTTTATTATTTATAATATAATAATTCATAATAATAAATAATTGATATCATTTCAATATACATTTTAATTCTACGCGAAATTTATTCTTTACAATTCGAAAGAATAGGATATTCCAAATAAAAAACCTTTTACGTAATATTTTACATATTTATGAATAAAATTCTTAAAACTGAATCACACAAAAATATACACTGCCCAAAGGTCAATTTAATTTATTTGATTTATTTGGATTATTTCTTTTTGTTGCTTTATAAATTTGTATTAAAATAATACGGTGTCTCATAGAAAGAATCAAATCGGCAAATCGAAAATATAAAATGGGAGAAACTATTTTTCAATATGACTGTTGGAAGAAATTGCTCGTTTTATTAACGCTACGATTCTCGGATCCCTTTTAATTACTTTTTTCTACGATGTTGGTGCTAAAAATTTATTGCGCTTTTAGATAGGTCCCTTTTATGTTCAACCTTAGGGCCGGCTCTCTTTCTTTCTCTCTCTCTCTCTCTCTCTAAATGCTTTTATAATAAATATTACATATAATATAAAACTGTTTAAAATAATCTTTCCAACTTTTATTTCAATGTACCTGAATTTTAATCTTTAACCAAATTCCATTTTTAAAATTTGCAAGGAATAGGATATTGGAAAATTCATGAAAATATAACAATCCTTTTTATATTTAATATTTTATAAGATACGGTAAATTTTTCAATAATCTTTTATATTTTTTCTTGACTTTATCCGATCCGGTGATTATTTGAAATAAATTATTTGATAGCAATTGTACGTCGGCATCGAAGAAATACTATCGTCGAGACTTCTCTTCAATTAAAATATCCAGTAACGGATTGGCGGTAATCGCTAATTAGCAAGTTATCTTACACCCGCGTTTGCGTTGCACACACAAAAACATACATTACATACATTCTTTCTCTCTATCTTCCTAGTCTTTTATGCTCTACTAATAAACGAGATTGTTCTATTGTATATGTAGTAAAACCAACGACAAAACCAACATAGATTACACTAGAAAGTATACTTTTAACTTGAAGAACATTGAAACACAGGCGGCGTTAACATTTTATAACCCGATAACTGTCACATTAGCAAGTAGTAGCTGTCTTCTTGGCTGCTTACATACGCTGACCGTTTCTTCTTTGAAACGAATAGATGAAACCTAAAGCGAATATAATATTTTCTAAAATAGCTTCCTTCCATTTGTCGTTTTTTAAATTAGTTACTTTCTTAAAAAATAACAAGATAGTAATCATAATTATCAATATTATTTATTTGCTTATAGATTCTGATATTAAAAGAGCAAGTTAAGTACTGCATGTAAGTTAAATTCGATATGTTCTCTAATTATGTTAAATTTATGCAACTTATTTTACAACAGGCGAGCATGTGTTCTGATTTATATTTTACGTAAACATAAAATAATGAATAGAAATTAGAAATAGAATGAAATTTAATAATTATATCTCATAAAATAAATATACAATAAATACAATACATATATATTGTATATTCTTTTTTACATAAATAAAATATATAAGAGAAAAAACGTATAAAAATTTATTAATGATCAATTAGATTGCAAGGTGTGAAAGACGCAAACGATTCTGATCAATTATTCTTAGCACGAAACTTTTGAACATCACACGAAGAATCGCGAGTTGATCGAAAGGAAACGTTTTCTACTCTTCCATATGAATTTAGTATACGTAGCAT